CTTTTACAGAACATTTCAACAAGCATCCTAAGCTCTTTCGTTTGCTGAACGACTTGCCTCCTGTGACGTTAAATGTCATGCATTACATTTTGCAATAAGAATCCACGTATTTCGGCCCGCCCTCGAGGAGTAGCCCCGGACAAGCTAAATGCTGCTAAGGCGGAATCTAAGCAAATGCTCGAACTGGGAATAATCCGCCTGTCCAAATTCCATGGGCATCAACATTACACATAGTGCCGAAGAAATTCGGTGACTGGCGCCCCTGTGGTGACTACAGGGCATTTAACAAAGTTACCGTCCCAGATAAATACCCCATTCCGCACATGCACGACCTAACTTCAGCTCTAGCTGGTAAGTCTATCTTTAGCAGAGTCGACCTTGTTCGCGCCTATCATCAGATACTTGTGGCGCCAGACGACATTGCTAAAACAGTATTCATCACGTTATTCGGCCTATTCCAGTACTTCAGAATGCCTTTCGGCCTCAGCAACGCTGCTCAAAGTTTTCAGCGTTTCGTTCATGAGGTAACGCGAGGATCGAAAGTGTTTATCTCTATCTAGATGACATACTCATTTCCAGCTATTCTGGCGAGGAACATTTCCATCACCTCTACGCTATCTTTCAATGTTTAACGCAGCATGGGGTTACCAGCAACCCCGATAAATGCGAGTTTATTCAAAGCTACTTCGACTTTCTTGGCCACTGCATATCCGCCTCTGGTATTAAAGCTCTGCGAAACAAAATCCAGGCACTAAAGGGCTTTTCTTCTCTTAGATCCTTTAAACAATTACGCCAATTTCTTATCCAGGTCAAATATTATCGACGCTTTAATCCTAATTGCGCGAACACTGTGCAACCAATGACTGAATTGCTCTGTGGTAAACAACGGTCTTTCCATTTTGCAGACGACGCTAGACTGTGTTTTGAGAAGCTCAAAGATGCTATCTCCAACACAGCGCTTCTTGCTCACCCAGACACATCAGCACCACTTCCCTGACAACTTACGCATCTGACACTGCAGTCGGTGTAGTTTTTCAACAACTCATATACCATCGATCGATACCTACAAGTTTTTCTCGAAATCTCTACAACCTTCCGAATCGCGTTACATCATTTTCGGTAGGAAACTATTAACTAATTACCTAGGTATCAGATATTTCCGTCAATAAATTGAAGGTCGACATTTTACAGTCTTCACTGACCATAAGCCATTGATCTACGCAATTAATGGCGCAACAGACAAGTATTCTCCGCGGGAAACTAGACACCTAGACTACGTTTCTCCGTTTACGACAGACATACGACATGTCTCAGGCGCTCTGAATCTCGTCGCGTATGCGCTTTCACGCATTCAGCAGATCAGCTTATCGCCTGACACCAACATTTACCTAGACGCCATGGATGCCGCCCAACAAGTTGATCCCGACATAGACAAGCTACGACGCAACATCTCCTTGAAACAACACGAAGTTCCACTAGCTTTATCGGACGGGACCAGTATTTGTGGCACCTCACAAACTTATCCCCGACCAGTAGTTCCTACTTCGATGCGTCGGCTAGTTTTCAACGCTTTACACAACCGGTCTCATCCCGCCATGCGTGCTTCGCAGAAGCTCGTAGCCGAACGCTTCGTATGGCTCAACATCAACCATGATGTCCGCCTTTGGGCACGCGCAAGCATAGAGTGTCAGCGCGCCAAGGTATACAGATACACCAAATGCCTACTTGGCGTCTCTCCCGCTCCTGACACTCGTTTTGCACAATGTCGACCTGATCGAAATTTGCCTCCCATGCAAAAGCTACGTGTACCTCCTCACCTGTGTCGACCGATTCACTCGTTGGCCAGAAGCGATTCCGATAGCCAAATGCTCATCTGAGACAGTTGCACAAGCATTCCTAGAATGCTAGTTAGTTTAATTTGGTTGCCCAAGCATAGTCATTACCGACAGAGGATCACGCTTTGACGGGTCCTTTAGCAAACTTTGCAACGTTCTTGGTTTCCAACACGACCGAACCACCGCATACAACCCCGCCGCTAATGAGATGGTAGAAAGGTTCCACCGGCAACTCAAAGCATCACTCTGTGCTCAATCTAGCACATCCTGGCACGAAGCACTTCCGCTCGTTCTCTTAGGCATAAGAAACACGATATCCCGGATTTGCACGCCACTCCATCGTCGCTAGTCTTTGGTGCACACAACGCTTAATTGGTGAACTCATCTCACCAAAAGCGCCAACAATCTTCGACTATGGCGATTACGCAGCTAGTCTATATCATCACAAACGACGGCTTCAGCCTGTGCAACCGAGTGCACAGAGCTTGCGTACCAACGTGGACGAACGCTTAACTATTTGCACACACGTGTTCGTTCGCACCGACAGCGTACGCCGGCCAATCCAACCTTCTTCTTCTGGCCCGTACCGTATCGTACCCAGAAGCGACAAGACGTTTACCAATGACTACCATGGGAAGACCGAGATGATCAACGTCGATCGGCTCAAGCCAGCATTCCTCGACAAGTCTGACATTTGGTGCAACAAGCACCTTCACAGTCCGCGCCATCACAGCTCGCACCGCAACCTCAGACGAGTCAGTTCCCTCCAGCGGAACCGACAACTTCAACCGACAGCACTCCTATTCGCCCTACAATCAACCGACGCGGTAGGAAGCTCAAACGTTCAGTTCGCTTTCCGGACCTTGTTAGCACTTACTAGTTTAAATAGAACATGCATCTGAGATTGTTTCCCCTTATCAAACCTTCTCCAAAATCCACAACAAAAGATCAAAACGTTTTGAAACTACCAAAAAGAGCAAAACCTTTTGAATACCCAAAAACAGCTTTGTAAGTTTTTCACTTCGCAATCTCTTGCGTATTGCTAGGCATTAAGGCTGTTTTTCAATTTGCTTTCCATATACACCGTCGGTTGTTTGCAACTGGGTTTCACTTTTCGCTGGAGCGCCGCACGTCAACTGGTAGTGGAATGAACTTGCTGCTCCACCACCTACGTGAACATTACAAGCTGTCCCCCCACAAAATGTTTTTTACCGTTTCGACAAAATTGGGAGGACACGGGTGGGAGCCTGATAGGATCCGGTTGCATGGCTCTCCCCAAGCAGCTGCATCACGTTTCATAACCTGGTCTTGCAGAAGGCTGGCCCGCGACGGATAGTCCTCACGTAGATGGAAGGACTGCTTACATAGTCCCTTCTGGGAGAGGGTTATGTAGCATGCTGGAGATTCCCCGATTTGCCTGTGTAAAATTCTAAATAAAATTATTTCATTGTACACTAGGCAACCGGTGTGGTTTGTTGAACTGATTGCTGAGTTCGAATGCTTGACTTGCTCATCGCCATTTTCGCTTGGCGCTTGTTTCGGTTGCAACACGCGACTGCCCTGTGTGATGTGTTCCTCCGTTCCCCTAGCTGGAGCGTCAACGGTGTCGTTTGTTATAGCTATGAAATAGGAAATCTTTTACTGTACCGATTAACCTTTCCCTGCAAATTTATCCGTCTTTTCAAATCGCTCTCTGAGCTCCCGGTACGGTCTACTCTCTAAAAATCCCCTACGACCAGGCACTCTAGTTACAGTTGATGATGGAGCTATACTCAGGCAATGGACGTGTTTCCATTTTATCCAGTGTTAATTGATACTTTCAAGTAGAACGTTTTGAACAGAAACCCAATGCTCCGACCTCCTCGATCTGCAGTAAGTACGCGTGTTTAGCAAAGTTATGGGTGTTGGAGTGGTGGATCCCAAGGTTACTAATAGTGTGGCAGTGAGATAATGGTTTAAAATCAATGTTAAGCGAACCCGATATGATATCACATCCATAGGATACTACGTGTCATTTGTCAGCAGAAAACGTCATCAACAGTTTGGAGTTCCATGAATCGAGCACTCTTAAATCACGCTGGATTCCGCCTAGCATTACAGTGACCTCAGTTAGATTAAAAGTGTAAACAAACTTCATGTCATCAGCAAATAGGAAAGGTTTCCCGGAGATAATGTTAAACATATATCGTTTACATACAGTAGGAATCAAAAGCATCACAGAACGCTACCCAGTATCACGCCCCTGATGACAGGCGATGGATTGGAAATAGCGGATTTGGTGAAATAGTCTGAAAGTTTAATTTGCGATCATCAGCTAACTCGGAAACAACGAGATAATGTGCTATCACGATCCGGTGCGAACTCTGGTGGAATTGTGACAGCGGATATAGCGAAATAGGTGCTGTTCACGTCCAGAATTTTAAACGCAGTTCGCAGTTTAATGGTATCGCCATGAACAAACGCGTAATTGAGTGTCCTCAGTAGTCTAGATGACGCAGCGTTTCAAAGTAGCAGAGAAATATTATCATGTGCACAAACTGCAAAGCGATGACGTCCTTTGGCAGCGAGACAGTACACAACGGGGTCACGGCGCCCATAGCCAACGCAGATCAGGATTCGAATGTCCAGTGAACATTGTGATCACGTGCATGCTCGGGCCAAGAGCATATACGGCGGGATAAAATTGCTCCCAAGACAGATTCCATGGAAAGTAACTTAGCCTGTCTAAAAATGAGGTTGTATTGAAACACCGTTAACCATAACCTATTCCTACTTGCGCCAAAGTGGTTAGGGCGGTCAGCAGTGAGTCGCCACCGACCCCACATTAACAATGGTGGAGGATCGCCTGAGGTAGCTGCCTCGTACCGCCGCAATTGTTAGCAACCATGGCTTCAAAGAGTAGGATTCCAGAACGCAACAAAAGCCGCCTTCGCACACACAACAACGAGTTTGGCAGTAACCGAAAGGTTAAGCCTCAGACACAACGAATTAGAACAATGGCACAAAGAAGCAGTATAATTGTCAGAAACTTCAAGATAAATGCATATGTTCCACCGACCGCTAAAAATGTGGGTGAGTAATATCGTCCGCGAATACTGAGGAATACACGTCAATGAATATGAGAAAATAATACACACACAATGAATCTGAGCGTGAAATCGATTGCTATGAGTATTTGGAATATACATGATGATTAGCCAATTCAGGGACTTTTCGACCGAGGGCTTCTGCTTTCGCAAGCATTAAAAATTCCGGTGATGTCTGACAAAACACTGACTGACGTTGCTTTGCAGCAGCTGCTTCAGCTTTTTTGTTGGATGAAGGGGAGTGACATTCGGAAGGCGGGTTGTACAGGCTGAGCACTTTACGTTCGGCATGAGTCACATATCGGGGCTTCTCCAGCCTTCGAACTTCGGTCGCTTTCGGTGAAACCAGCTGGGCGAATTCTTCTTCACTGTCGGAGAATAGATCTCGGAGAGATTTGGTCATATTCGGTTCGTCAGAAGCGGGCTGTTTCATAGCGCGAATTCTGGGACTGGAACGCGTGGGTAGCTCCGTCACACCAGGACGTTTTGCACCGGGAGGCAGTCTCGCTGGGGTTCTAGGAGTTGAGACAGGGTCAGATAACAAGACGCTGGGTTGTGACAATGTTTGTTCTACACCTCCGGAATCGCCAGGGGCACTAAAATAGAAGACAACGAATAAGGAAGAAATCAAGCAATACGGTTGTGGGTTGGTATTGGCTTGGGCTGATGAAGTGAAAAACACCAACACTTCCAATCTTACATAAATGAAATGAGAACGTGCTAAATCCCCTTACACTCGAGAAGAGTTCTTGACGTTCGGTAGAGTTGAAGGTGAAGGCGCTGCCGGAGCATCACGTGAGGTTAGAGCTTCTTCCCTCCTGCGTCCATGCGAAGTTGCAGGTGGGCATCTACGATGATGTTTTGAGGTTTCCTTTGTGCCAATGGCGTTGCTAATGGGACGTGCGGTTTTAGGCTGCCGAGCAGATTGCCGCAACTATACACATAACAGGAGGAAAGCAATACCCGTTTAGGAATAAGACAGAAATATAATGCACCCGAGGAACCAGACAAAATGGGTTGGTTATTCTGTACTTTTTTATTGCGACTACTGAGATTGTCATGTAACATCAGACCTGGTAACAAACAAGCTTGATGAGCAGCGCAATTTCAACGCAATACTTGATAGTAAATAACTAGGTTAACATGAATGGAAGTCACTCTCGGCTTGACCCTAAATTAGATCAACAAATTATGCTATTCTTGATGGTAAATGTGACAGTTTAAAGATTAGTTTGGTACACAGAATCGTGAGCTAAAGAACATTAAACTGTTTGCAATAATTCGATGGCTGGTAAACGACGCAGAAAAATACGTGTACGGAAGTATATAAATGGAGAGGCTATCATTTAGTAGCGGCGGACCAGCGACAGCACCAAATTAGTAGGAGGTAACATCCCTCGCAGTTTGAATGTTGTATGATGACGATGACAACGCACATCACTGACTGGGAGCCAAGAGTAAGACCGCGGCAATCGAGTCATGTAGCGGCATATTTCGCTTCTGGATTTAGTAAACATTACTTTTTCAACACTTATATTGTCATTTGTGGAGTGACTGCTTTCAATGTAAGAGCTTTAGAGCCGCAGCTAGACATTAACATTTAAAAAACAGAATGGCAAGATTGCCAAACATTTGCCCAAAATTGAAGTAGAAGTATGACTAACGGGTGCCGTCGTGTAAGTACGAAGCGCCGAAAAACTCATCCGAAACTGGGGCTCAAGAGGAGTCTACGTGAGAGACAAATGCTGAGGAAGAGGGACAGGTGATGTATTCTGGAAAAGAACTGTTTGTAGAGCTGTATATTGTTACATTGTCTCCAGACGCATCTGAACTTACCCATAATCCTAACCCCCAGTTTGCACTACTGTTGAAGAAATCTGGCGCAAAAGGGAACTGACAGAGTGGGAAAAATTGACCAGACCGATAACATTCTTCCACTGTTTCTGACAGATTATGGTGACACGCTGGCTGCTTATCTAGCAGGTTTGTTCAAAACTACCCTAAGGATGGTGTTTGTCAAGCAGTGTGTCCTCAGCATTCCAAAAAGCAAAAAATGTCGTGTTAGAACCAGTGATTCTGTCGCCTTCAAAATTTCCATGTCAGTACACTCAAGCAACTCAGTGGTTCCAGATGAGAAGAGTTAGTGAAAAGTAATCCAGTTCCACACAGGAAGAGAACATGCTAAACATATACTTACACAGCATTGTTCTTAAAAGCAGAGTATTACACATAATTGAACTGCTATAGTTGTTTTGCTTGACTTGGAACCCGCTTTTGACTCAGGTGAATGCGCAAACACATGGCGTCGTCGATTTCAGAACGAAGTGCAAAAGAGATCTATTTTCACCCTGAAATCTCGTCTTCGTTATTGCCATGAACTTGGGAAATGTTTACGGGTAATAGTAAGAGTTCAACACAACAGTTGGCGTGCTTCCGATACAAACTAGGTGACCAAGATGGCTATAAATGCCAACCCTACTCGACAACCAAAGAAACGATAGTAAAGACTGCAATATGTGAGAAAAGTCGTGCTCACGTATTGATGGAAAGGAAGACACCATGTAATCACACCTAATCACCACAAATAATGACAGGAAGCGCTAGACTTGGCTGTTCATTCTGCCATCCTCGAACACCTGTTCACTCCGAACACAATACTTTTGTAGATGTAACTGAGCACACTGTAGTAGCTCATAAACCACCAATCTGGAAAGGCAAAACACAGTCGATTTCTCCCAACGGATCCATCAGGAATCGAATCCATGACCTCTAGCGTCCCGCGCCTCTATCCATCGGATTACGCCACGTAGACGCGCTGGCAGATCATCATAATATGCAAACAAAGTGCCAAAAATGCAACTTGCCCTCCTCCATAATACAGGCTGAAAGGTTGCAAAGGAGATTGTTTGATCCCATGAAGTCAGGTGTTACCGCAGCGGCAGCTACGTGCGTATAACGGTTGTTTAATCGAAGATCCGGCGCGCTCGATTCCAAAGCCTCCATGGAGAACTAAGTAAAAGCAACTGACTTACGCACCTCACCTAGCAAATTCTATTGTGGGTGTTTTTTCATTGTCCAGTAATAATTAGCACACAATGGATGATCGAATAACACGGAGAAATGCTATGTTAAGTGTGTCTTAACAGCAGTGCTACATAATCAAGATCCCACCAATGTTACACTGTGAAAGTTATATGAGTAGAAACCGAAAGAGGAGAGAGGGTCTATCACCCTGAAACAGCTCCGTACGCACGAGAGAATCTCATTATAGTGGTCGCAGTAATACCACAATGGTACTCGGTACACCACAAATGAGCGGATATGGTGGATCCCTCAATAGCGGATAAAGATATCAACAGTGCGCCCGTAAACCGTACCGACGCTTCACTGCCACGCAACCAACGTTGGTTGCGCGCGAACTGTGTATACTACGAGACCACCTGTGTCTACACATAATCGAACCGGTGGAGAACAAAGTAGACGCAGTATCCTTTAGACAACTGGCCTATAAGGGTTGAAACAACGGCAGTGTAAGTCACTTAGGTACCATTACCCATCCCCTCTTCCGCCAATCGCGCATGATCCCCACAGTGTCCCTTGATCGCCAAGTAATTTAGCGCTATCCCGAATAAAAGTAAGCAAACAGGAATGTGAGTGATGGATGTTCAAAATACGCCTTCCCTGCGCGTTGCTTGCGTTGTGTGACCTCTTTCCATCAGCCTGGTGTATGCTATTAAGATTACAAGTGCTTAGTTTCAGATAGGTCTAATGGTCCTGCTGCGACAGGACATATAATGTCACAGTTTTGAAAAGAGTTATCGTAGCTAGACCCAGCGAGACAGATACCATACCTCCAGGAAAGCATGAAAACGTTCGCGGATCTCTGCTGGTAAACTTTTGCTGCGAGGGAGTTACTCAAAAGCCCAATAAAGACCCCTACTATTCCGCAACAGACATTTCTCTTTTAATCACAGGATGCTCTAAGGACAATTCAGGGGAACCAAAAATAGGTTTATCAGAGCCAAACTGTGGATATTAATTTCAATGCCTGGGCGGGCCCTTGGTGATCCACTGCACCATTGGGGGCAGTGAGAACATGTGGTGAAAAAAATATCTAGTGTGATGAAGCTTTCTTGCTTTGCATTAACTGACCAGCTTACCGTTTACGGTATACTTACTAAGATAGTTTACAATGGACAACTGGGAGAAAGATTATTCGTATGTATACACTGACGATGAGATATTGTAAAATTTAGCATATAGATGAAGATGACAAACATACGTGAGAACGATGCTCCCTACTAAGTCGCTTCATCGGGCATGCAGGGGTTCCCACCTTCGGTGAGGAATTGGTGACCGAGGATTTCATGCGTTTAGAGAAGGCTAACAAATGCCGACGTAACCGTTCACGATATGGAGTCTGATCGTAGTCAAGCTAGCTAACAGTAAACATAAAGCTGGACAAATCTGTTCGAAAACAAAAGAAGGTAGATGGGAACGGAAACAGAAACGACCCTGCTAGAGAAATAAACAGTCATGCTGCTGTCTAGCTGTCACCCTACATCTGCATACTAAGAAAATTAGCACAAACCAAAGCTCAGATGTCACCTGTGCAAGTTTCTAGTTCATAACGAGGGGATGCCCAATCCGTGCACCTTGTTAGTCGATGCCTGGTTGGTTTAAATTTAGCGAGAATCTCTGTGCCAAAACAGAAGTGATGTGGAAGCTCGTTCAGTATCCTACCATAAAGATTATATATGATGTGGACGGATTGTGACGAAAACAATAGCCCAAATATTGTTTGTCTTGCTGACGTTGCGACCGTCAGAGGAAATTCCGATATTTGTATTCGGGAAACGCATTTATGAAAATGACAAGTTTATGTGTGGGGGGTCGAGTTTGCTCTTTTGACTGCACAGTAAGCTCGCTAAGTCATACCATCAACTGTTAACATGCATAGACATTTTTACATTAAATTTGGCTAACAGACTCCTCGGAAAATAGTTACCAACAAAACATTTAAACTCTAAAGTAGAAACTTGTTTAAGTGGTAACTCCAGGAAGGCGATCTCTGCTGTACTCAGCGGTACAGAAATCGGTCTCCAACGCCAACAATCCTCACACAGTGAGCGGTGTATACAGTTGCATGAAGAATATTTACTAACTCAAACGGATGAGTTATATTTGTGAATTTAGGTGCAGAAAGATAGTTGGCATTCACTAAAAACACAAACGGAGAGCGCTGAAGCGATAACTCAATGCGGTAACATATTCATTAAGTGAAAATGTGGATGGTACTAAAAGGCATTACTTAAAGCACAAATATTAGCTAGTTAACTAAGTTGATTTGGTGTTTGATGTTGTAGGTTTGGCAATATTATTGTTGAACAAATTTTCAGTAATTTGACGCTATATATCATACTGAAGCACGTT